AGGCTCGAAGCCAGTTCTCCCATTCCCTTCGGAGCACGGACTTTTCCAGATTTTCGCAAAGAAAAGGTTTTATGAAACAAATTTGTATATATATATGTTTTTTTTTTTTAATTTTATTATTTTATATTAACAATGCTTCTGTCGAGCAATTTTCCTTCCAAACTTGGTCAACCTCTTGACTCATGCTACAATTTAGCTTTTTTTTTTTTATAGTTTTATTCGGCATTCTGCCCCTGACCACTGTCAGATAATGCCTCATTTATTATTTAAATTTCAAATTTTCATCGGCACTCTGCCTCTGACCACTGTCAGATAATGTTTCAGTTATTATTTAAATTTCAATTTTTTTCAAATTTTCATCGGCACTCTGCCTCTGACCACTGCCAGATAATGTTTCAGTTATTATTTCATTTTCAATTTTTTTTTTCGGTAATTTGCCTCTGACCTTTGTCAGAACTTGTTCTACATTTTCTTTTTTTTTTTTTTTAAAGCTCTTTGCTTTTATCTGATCACAACTTCTCATACTCTTAAATGCAATTACTCTTAAAGTTTCCTCTCTTCTTATAATTTTTTTTTTTCTGGACATACCGTTTACTCGCACTCGAACGCATGACAACGACGAACGAGATGAATGAAAAAGAGATAGAAAAAAAAAACTAACGGGTTCCTGCGAGATAAATTTGTTCACTTTTAACAAATACGCCTTTTTGTATTGCTTAGTTTTATGGTTAATAGTTTACTCTAACGATTTTAGCTTCGTTTTCCATAGATTTCACCTCGTCGCCAATGTAACAACTCAATAAATCACTTTAGATTGTCTTTTATAAATGTATTTTATTTTCACTCTCCTTCCGCGGCGAGTGCCAAAATCAAACTAAACTAATTATGTTGAGAACAGTGATCCAAGGTCTAGGAAGAGAGAGAGAGCCTCGCTCTCCTACAACCGTCATCGCTGGCTTAGCTCCTTGGTGCCGGTTCCCACAATATTTTTATTGTTCTTAGTTTTATAGGTTGTTAATTGTCAAAAATTTGTTACTTTCTCTTTGTGTCTTGAAGTCCTCTATTTTACTAAAGCGCGCATCCCAGTAGGTCCTCAATATGTTCGACCAGACTGAAATAGGTAGTTCCATAGCTGGGAGTTTAATTAGAATCCTAATTAAGTACAAAGAGGGTATTAAGGTCGTCCATAGAATGCACAGAGTTTTATGAAGAACTGGGGACCTGAATAGCAATGTCTTAAGAAGAGCAGTATCTCGACAATTTCGAATCTATTGTTAATTTACAAACTTTTCTTGGCCTTTGTTAATGTCCCCAGTATGATTTTATTGTATGACCAAGTCTCTTTACCAGTTTTCTCCAAGCATGACCATATCTTTCTGACACTTTCGAATTTAGGGACTATAAAAATATTAACTACACTGAATTGGAAGTGCAATATTACAATTGTGATTGGACGTACATAAATATGTCTCCCAATATAGGGCACCAATGGAATATTTTTAACAGCAACATTGATTACCTGTATAACAAATGTATTTTAATAAGACAAAAACTATCTATCCAAAGCAAATTCTTTGGTTTACCCATAACATTAAAAGAAACATAGCGATCCGTGAGCCATATTACAATATGAAATATAAAACAGAGAAAACACAGATTTTTAGAAAACAATACACTCGGACGCGTTATAATGTTCATCAGATCAAAAGTGTGACTTTTATGGGCCCAAATTTCAAAATCTAGCAATTAAAAAAAAGTGGCGTGAACTTAATTGGAATTATTAAAAGCATTGGAATTGGTAAAAGCAAACAGTTTTCCCAAGCAAGCAGTTGTGTAATTCGAAGTACCTGAAGCTACATGCAACAAGTACCTGAATGCCTTACCGGACGGTGATATCCAATGTGATGTCCTTGAATGTTTACTTAAGGCTAAGTCAAACCATATTAAATTGTTGTTACCTTTACTCCTTACCCATATTGCACACAATTTGAATATGGAAATACGTAAAAATTGTCTCCATACCGAAAAGTCAAACTGAGTTCAGACCCATATCCCTACTTCCTTTTTTTGTCGAAAATTTTTGAAAATACAATCTTTTATTTGACGCCGTTCAACCGTAGTGTTCTATGCACCAACCTAAGAATCTTTTTCAATTTTTCGGAATCTGCAGTCATGCTCTTGAGGTCTCTATGTAAAGTTACGATTATATTAGTCTGTGTAATACCTTGCTTTTAAAATTAATAACTGGGCCATTGAAACGGACTTTGTCTAAACTCAAAAAAAAAAACTAATGTACTACGCAACTCCTTAATTTATTAGTATTCTCAATCAAATATGTATTTCCGAAGCAGCTGGGCGAACATATGGTCTTCTGAGACAGCTTTGAACTTCTCAGTCGTTCTTGCCAACTGAACTACGAATGCTAGTGGATAAAACAATTACAGTTCCCACCCTGCTTTACGGTGTTGAAATCTTTGGGCATTGCGACACTCAAGATATGCAAAAATTATCTGTTGCTTGTAATTCAATTGTCCGTGTTTAATCTCCGACTTACTGACCACACTTCCCATCTAATCAACAATATTCTTGACCTTAGCCTTAGTCAGTGGATTGACCTTAAGACTTTAATTTATTTTAAAAAAATGGTGAGCACCCGTGAACCGTATTTCTTGTTTGAAAAACTTCTTCCAGCTCATTCGCAAAGAAAACAAAACTTTAACATCCCTTGTCATAAAACCTTGTGCTCTAGGAGGCAATTCTTTATTAATATCATACGCCTTTGGAACAATCTACCTCACGCTCTTAAAACCCTCGGAAGCGCGTCTTTGTTTAAAATCAAAGAATTTCTGCAGGCTTAAATATAGTTGCAACTTAAGTTTTATTTTATTTCAATTCAAAAAATTTATTTTTCTCCTTATCTTAAAAAAAGAATAAATGTAAATCCCTACCCTTAAGCAGTATAATATTTTATAACATTAAAATCGCTCCTGAGTGATAAAAACAAAAACATATCTTAATGAGGTAAAACAGTTGTGACGATCGCACCTTCAACATTAAAAATATCTGATATCAAATTTTCTGAAGAATAATGAATAAGCATAAGGAGGAAAAAAAATCCAAAAGAGAAAGTTGTCTGGCTCCCAATAGAACATTTAATTTTTTATAACTTATGATTTCATATTTGGTTGCTTAAATTAGGAATTTAATTTTATTTTAAATAATAATAAGTATTTTATAAATATTTAGTGAAAATGTTTATTCTTTTAACCTGAAACCAAATTAATGGTGAATATTTGTAGGCTTTATCTGCTCTAAATTATGAAAAGTTGCTGTTTTTGTTTCCTAATATCTTTCTACAACATATATCCATAAAATGGAATCTCAAGAACTACATTAGTAAACTAACCAAAATCGGCTCTAAAAATTTTTAATAGTTAAAAATGTTATAAAGTATATTATTTAGAACATTTATGTATATATCACATATAATATATCACTTGTCTGTAGCTTTAATAGTTAAGAAGTTATAGCCGTGCAAAATTAAGCGATTTCCCGCTTAATAAGCTAAGTCGTAAAAAAGTCGTACAACGCTTGGCATTTTTTTCCAGATATGAAAAAAATTTTATTTTGAGATATACCAAGTTTAGCTTTTGTACGGGGCGTTTTTAAACCCTTGCAGAGGGTATTATAATTTCAGTCAGACGTTTACAACGAAGTGAACGAGACATTTCCGACCCTATAAAGTATATATATTTTTGATCAGCATCATTAGCATAGTCGATCTAGCCATGTCCGTCTGTCCGTCCGTTTTTACGCAAACTAGTCTCTCATTTTTAAAGCTATGCGCATGAAGCTTTCCCAAAAGTAGTCTCTCTATTGCAGGTAGTATATAAGCCGGAACGGACCGGATCGGACGACTATAACATAAAGCTCCCATAGGAACAATCGGAAAAATAAATGAAAAAAAAATTATAAATCTGCTGTTTTTTTTTCTTTTAATTCTTTGATATATAGTAATGGTTCGATATTTTAGAATTTCGATTTAAATTTCATCAAAATCGGACGAAAATAACATATATCTCCCATGGCAACTATAAATATATTAAAGAAATATTTTATTTAGAACTACGCTTTTAATTTTATTAAAATCGGAAAAATATATCATATAGCTGCCATAGGAACTATCAAATAATTGAGCTGCGAATAATCATAGCTTCAATGTTTTTAAACATATACACAAAATAAATATTAATTTTAATTTTTTCAAGAATATTTAATTTTTGCAATAGCTGCAAGGGTATATGAACTTCGGCTTGCCGAAGCTTGCTTCCTTTCTTGTTTCAACAAAATTTTAGCTGTGCTAAAAAAGTGATTTATTTTACCTACCCAGGTTAAAGAAATTTAAAAAAAGGTGGAGAATGTCACTATCTCCTAAACCAATACATTTTCCTAAAGTTAATCCCTATTTAGCGATACCTTTCGATTGGTGTATTACTGGTGTATCCCAGCAGATTTTCAATTCTGCGGCTATATAAGGTAGTCGCTTATGTACACAAAAAAAATTGGTTTTGCAAAAATATTCTGCCCTTGTTATATATTTTTAAAATCATAAACCATAAAAGAATAACACCAGTACTTCAAAAAAATTGAAAAAAAGAAGAAGAGGAATTGCAGAAGATTTTTCAACTTGTCTGCTTCAATTAAAATTTATGGTATACTCCACAGGCCACGTAAAAAAATTCTTAAATAAATAATCGGACCGATTCAAGAATTCGTAAAAGAAGATGGCTTTAATATATAAACACTCTTTTTTATACCGACTACTTGGGATAATATGATTTTGGAAATATAATTGTAGTTTTGTACAAATCAAACACGATCGTTCGATCTTGAATTATTGACCTTACGGTGACCTCGAAAAATTGTACATATGTGCCTCATATTTAAATTAAGTTTATATTTGGTTTGCCCTTTTTTACATTTTTGTTTTTGTTTTTCAGGATTCCCGGAGACTATATTAGCACTAATTTTGAAGGATGTTTTATCAGCGCTTACATACATTCACTCTCAACATTTTGTTCACGGATCTATAAGGGCAAAACATATACTTATAAATTCCAGAAAAGCTGTAGTAACCAATTTTGGTGACTGTCAAAATTTTATTAATAATGGAAAACAAAAACCGTTTTTAAACGGATTATCGGTGGAAAATAAGAAACAGTTGTATTGGACGGCACCAGAAGTTTTATATCAAAACCTCTCTGGTTACACAGAAAAAATAGACATATACTCCCTCGGAATCACATGTTGTGAAATGGCAAATGGGTTTCAACCTTTTAGAGACACTGAACTGACATACATGTATATTGAAAAAGTTCATGGAGTTCTTCCTTTTTTACTGGATAAAAATAGTCTTATGGCTAACCATGGTAACTAACACCACAATTTATGTTATTTCATTAGCATGTCAAATAATCTACTTCAAGACAGCAAGGTTATTTTTTACTTAAGGTGTTACAAGGGTGCCAACCAAATTTAAGGTATATATTTATATTTTTAACCTTCTTTTGCATTAGCATAACAATAATAAAGAAATATTTTTTTTTTGTATGCTAGTATGTGTTTATTTGGTTACAAATAATATATACTTTTGTTTTTTTTTCTTTGGGGGGTTAGAATAACTAATAACACTCGCAAAGGCGTATGTACCGTTTTATCACAAAAAAAAATTATTGAAAGTAGAAAGCCATATATGGCGCTGTATGCGGTAGGGTATTACAAAAATGTCAAAATTTTTAATGCAGGAGACGTTTCCGACCCTACACTCAAAATATAAATTACCCTAAAAAATAGATATTTGCATTAAAATTTATCTTTTCTAAATCCAAGATAAAAATTGTTTTTTTGTTTTTTTTACTAAAAAAGGAAATTTTAAGCTCAAAAAAGTTGGGTAGACTGAAATCGAAATTTTGAAATTTGAAAGACGGAATCGTTTGCCCATTTTTGCGCACCAGTTAGTTTTTTTTGCCCACTTCCAGTTTTAAAAATATGGGAATTTCAAAAATTTTTGAAAACTTAAAAGAGAATCGGTTGCCTACCCTTTAGAATTTTTAAAAAGTTAAAACTTTGGAAAATATGGAACTAAAGCTTTCATAATTTTTTACCTAATAAAATGGGGCGGCGAAAGGGCAAGAGCCATGGGCGCCAAATCTAAGAGGCGCTAAATCGAGTCCGACCAGCCATATATGTTTCGAGAATTCATATTTTCCCGGGGCGCTGCTCATGTAACGCTCCCTATAGAATACAAGTGTAAGTGTTTTATGATGTGATCAAAAGGAAAAGGGACGCTCGAAACGTCATAATAAACTTTCTTGCTTAGAGAGAGCGAGAGAGAGAGAGCGTGTATACGTGTTAGGTTATGAGCGCGTTTGTTTACATACATTCCAATCAAGGCAGTGTTTTCTATTGCAACATTTAATCAAGGTACTTATGCTTCGATGTCATTTATCAAATATTATTCACTGAACCTTCCATTTCTTGATGTTCTAAAAATATATTTATATGTTGCAGCATTGATATTATTTTCCGACATTGTAATACATTGTAATAGCGCAGCGAGTTTCGGTTTTACACGCACGAAATCCTGAACGCAACTACTGGCGTCATCCCTTCTTCTTTCTGTGCTTTCCACCGAACCACACTCGGCGACAGCGACACAACGCTGTCGCCCCGCTAAAAACGGTACTTCTTAAGCGACAACACGCATACAACCAAACAAAGCACCGTTAGAGGCCGATGCAATATTACTTTACTGATGAAATTAGTCTTCTGGAATTTTATAGAGACTGTATACCCATACACTCATACCAACATCCACACACTCTTAGTGTGCGCCGACACTGCCATCCTGACCATTACACGACCTCGTGCAATTTTACCAAAAATGCTTTGTTACCATTCAACACCTTATAAAAGTTTATTCAAATATAATTTTTAATTTTTCATCTAAATCTATTATTTTCATTACAAATAACATCTTCATATTGATACAGCTCATTTTTACATTATCATTAACCACTCAGGTTTCTCAAAATATTATCTAATGCGCCACACGCCATGATCAAAACAATTGTTTTGCACTTGTGCTTACATTATTATAACAGATTTTATTATTAACTCTTAAAAACAAATGTACTGTCTCTTTCAACAGTTTATCTTTACATTATTTCAGTACTGTCTCTTTCAACAGTTTATTTTTACATTATTCAGTACTGTCTCTTTCAACAGTGTCCTTTTCAACTACTTCGTTACTGTCTCTTTCAACAGTTTCTGATTCAACTCATTTTCTTTATTACTGTCTCTTTCAACAGTTTATTTTTACATTATTTCAGTACTTTCTCTTTCAACAGTGTCTTTTTCAACTACTACATTACTGTCTCTTTCAACAGTGTCCTTTTCAACTATTACATTACTGTCTCTTTCAACAGTTTCTTTCAACAACTGATTCAACAGTTTCAGTTATTTGAAACGGCCCCCTAAACTTTAGACTTAACTTTGTCTGATGCCTTTCTTCATTTTTTAACAATACGAAATCTCCAACCTTGCATCCAACAATTTTAGCCTTGTTTTTATCAAATTGCTCCTTGTTATATGTTGCTGCAGCTGAAATATTTTGACCTGCGCGTGTTCTTACTTCTGCCAAGTCGACCTTTTCTACCATATCGCAGGGTGGAAGCAACCCCAACGGGCGAGCAACTTTGCCGATAAACAATTCCAAGGGGCTTGCTTTTGTCACTCGACTAACCGTACAGTTTAAGGCTAATTGAACTTCTCCTAATGCATCTTGCCAAGATCGATTGCTAGTTTCAACGGCCGTTAATAAATTCTTTAAGGTGCTCATAATGCGTTCAACTTGACCATTAGCCCTACTTGCACCTGTCGCAATCAAATGTAAATTAATTTTTTGTTGTGAACAAAACTCACTAAATCTAGTACTGGCGAAACATCTGCCCTGATCCGCTATTATGCGATTTAGTACTCCAAATAGAGAAATAGCGGACGTGACAGCATTTATGCAATTTTCAGCATCAATTTTAAGCGAATGGGTTAAATAAACAAATTTGGTGAAAGCGTCCACCTGAACAATGATATATTTCTTCTGATCAGACTTCCCACTCAACTTTCCAGTTATGTCAATGTGAATTGTGTGCCAAGGTGTATTTACTTTTGGTATTGGATGAAGACTTACTTGAACTTTACCCGAAGAAGACTTCGACATTTTACATGTAATGCAGTTATCAACAAACTTCCGAATATACTTGGACATATTATCGAACCAGTAATAATCATAGGCCTTATCTAAAGTCTTCTCCCATCCCAAATGCATGATGGACTCATGAACTTGATTTATTACGGAATATCTAAATGGTCGAGGAACAATTGATAAGGTTCGAGTTCTACCATTTCGCTGAATTTTTCGATAAAGTATTCCTGCTCTCAATTCGTAAGTTTTAGCAATGTCCTCAGCAAGAGAATTTTCTTTCAATTTATTTACAATATTAACTATTTCAGAATCTTGACGCTGTTCTGCCAAAAGCCAATTGTCAGATATTTCCGCCAAATTTACTCGTTTTTCTAGAGTTTTGCAAGTCAATTCTGCTGAAGGCGGATTTCTTGAAAAGAAGTCAACATGAGACATTCGTTTGCCTTCTTTATATTGTATGTCAAATGTAAAGGACTGTAAATACGCCCACCATCTTTGTACCCTGGGACATAGATCCTTTTTAGTTCTTGATGCTTTAAGTGAGTTACAATCAGTGAAGACAACAAAATTTCTACCCAATAGATAATGGCGAAAATGTTTTATAGACAAAACAACAGCAAGAGTTGTATCATAAGAATGATACCGTGATTCAGCCGGAGAAGCAGCCTTACTAAAATATTCAATGACATGAGACTTGTTTTGTGTAACAAGATGGCACCGTATCCCCGAGAACTTGCATCAGTATGCAATTCGATCGGATGGTTCGGATCAAAAATTACTAAAACTGGCTTTTGTGTAAGGATAGAAATAACTTTTTGTCTAATTTCTTCATGTTCCGATTTCCAAACAAAATCATTCTTCTCCGAAGTCAAAAAATATAACGGTTTCATAAAACAGGAAAATCCTTGCATAAATTGCCTGAAGTAAGACGCTAATCCAATAAATTGGCGTAAAGCAGATAATGTCTTAGGAGGTGGCAAGGTAGTTAACGCTGTAACTTTATGCGAATTCGGGCGGATTTCACCTGCACTCACTTCATACCCCAGATATTGAACTGTTGACTTGAGAAAAGAACATTTTTTTACATTGAATGAGAATCCAGCCTCCGTGAGACAATTAAGAGTAATTTGCAACCTTTCCAAAGCCTCACTTTTTGTTGCAGCAGCCACCATTACGTCATCCATATAAACGACAACAAACGTATTTGCAAGGTCTCCAAGAGCTTGCATGACTGTGCGTTGAAATACTGAAGGTGCGTTTCTGAGCCCAAAAGGCATTGCCAAAAATTCATATTGCCCGTCTGGTGTGACAAATGCTGTACACTCTACCGATTCTTTGTGCATGGGAATACCCACTTGCCATGTCTAAACATGTAAAATATTTTGCTCCATAAAGTCTGGCTATCTGATCTGATATAAGTGGCAAGGGATACCTCTCTGCGACTGTATTAGAATTTAATTCGCGGTAATCAACACACAAACGATGAGTGCCGTCTTTTTTGTTAACCAACATTATGGGACTGGCGTAAGGTGAGCAACTTGGTTTTATGATTTTATGTTGTAATAATTCCTTAATCATGTCTCGTACCAATTCTCTTTCATTTGGGCTAAGCCTATATGGTCTTCTTTGAACAATTTTTCTTGGATCTACTAATTTAATTTTCATTTCACCCGAACTAACTCTAGACGACGGAATTCCATTAATAAAAGCTTTTGAATATTTTTCCAATATATCTTGTAATTTATCTCTATCTTCTCGCACAAGATCGGTATTTAATTCACAAAATTTCTCATCATTTGAACAATAATTTACAGTTTTTGATCTAACAATTTCAAATTTTCCTGGTGATATTATAACATTAAATCCAGGATACAGTACTTCTCGACCAATAACAATATCATTCTTCAAATACTCATTGTCCAAAACATGAAACAAAACTTCAATACAGTGTTGGTTAATTTTTACGTTGCTAAGTATTTGTAATGTGCTACATATGCCACCACTACCAATACCCTTCAACATCACTACATTGTTAATTCTTTTACCAACTAATTTGACACTTATCTTCTGCTTAATCAATGAGCATTCCGATCCAGAATCGAAAGTTGTTATGAACGTCTCGCCTTGATGAACCATCTCTCCTTTGGGCTCAACCACTTCGCATAG